ACACCCCCCACTGGGGATGCGCCCGCAACCAAGGTACATGCCCTTGACTGGAACTGAACCTGGGAACCTTCAGTCGGCAGGCTGATGCTCTATCCACTGAACCAAACCGGCTAGGGCTAATAACAAACATTTTAATCGATTGAAACACATGGAATCTCTAATGCCAGTGATTTCATAGTGGGGATCAAAGAATCTACATTTTAACAACAATTCACTGACTATGTGTATGCACATGAAAGTATGAGAAGTACCATTTGCATGATTAATAAGGTTAACATCTGCAGCTTCTGCTTTCACTCCCTTCTCCTTTTTCATGAATTAATAGCAGTTCTTGTTTTACTGTGACGCTTGTTTTAGAGTGCCATTTCTCCCACATGCCATTGCAAACAGAGTCTGAGGTTTGTATAGGTCTTCCTCAATTTTTTTTTTTTTTTTTTTTTGCAAGGAGGTCATTATGATTGGGTAGAACGTCCCAACATTCACCAGTTTACCCTTAATCATTTCGATTGATGCTGTAATGTGAGCTCACACATCACTTCCTTCCACACTGTGGATTCTTATGCTCTATTGCTCACATCTTCCATTTCAGCACCACCTAAATCTCTTAAGAGCTGTACCACCATCCCTCCCTTCCTTATCCTGTGAAATGTGTCTAGACAGGGCATCTATTTTTGCAAATTTATCCCTGTATTGTTATGTTGGCTCTGTCTGCAGTTTTCTCTCATTTTCCCCTTCCTGCCTTTTTTTTTTGTCTAGTCCTATTTCATTTTCTTGTTCTTTATTGAAAACAATCTATGCATGTCTTTAAATGTAAAATCAGAGAATCTATTTTGCAGTTTCTTTTCTTATAGTGAATGTGTTTTCCCAGTTATGCAACTAGTAACACTCTAGAATGAAAGCAAGCTTTCTCTCCCATTGATTATATTAACATTTAAATTTCTTCTTGTTCTTACAGAAGTTTTTTACTTCCTGCATATGACTTTCAAATTTCCAATATATTGTGTGAAATTAGTTTTAGTTATTGCAATATCATGATGAGAAATTGTAATATTTTTCTTTTTATATGTATAATACACACTTTTCTATACACCGTATCAATTCTTTTGTATACTTCATCTTACTGCGATTCTATTTCATACAATTAGCATATGTACCCCTATATACCTTCTTATGGTACACACAAACAGGCTGATTTTAGAGTACTTATCATTATCATCACTTTTTGCTTAGATTCAAACTTACTTATGTTTTTCTAAAAGACAAGTGAAATTTCCTCCCTCAAATCATAAAATTTCCCATGCAGATTTCTAATGTTTCTATGCCATGTCTCTAAATCCTGTGCAGATTTAATGGACATAATCACTTATTTTTTTGCCTGGGAAGAATTTCGAATCTTAGGACTAAAGAGATTTCTTTCATTTCTTCCTGAGTCGTTATGTTTGAAACCGAAATACTCTTCTGAGCTGCTTGAATATGTCCTTTCATAGACTCAGAAACAGTGTCTTTGACCTTCTGTATAGTTGGTATTCCTCATTGCCAGAATGGAAGGGCAGCCCCCCAGAAGGCTAGAGGACAGGGAGATGTCAGCCATCCTGAAGTCCCATCTGCTCGCTTAACATGTAAGAAAACTGTGGCCCAGAACACCTAAAGCAAAACAAAACACACCTGCTTACCCAAACTGTCATTGTATTTCTCCTTCTCCCACACCTTTCCTCCTACTCCTTCTTCTATTTCATGTTTTGAGTGAGACACATTTTCTGTTACTTCAACACATTATTATTATTATTATTATTATTATTATTTTGAATTTTTAATGTTGAAAGTATTACATATGTCTCCCTTTTTCCCCCACTGATCCCTTATATCCTTCCCCCACCGCCCACCTCAGGCCTCTACTACCCTATTGTCTGTTATGCATGTATGGGTTATGCATATATGCATACAAGTTCTTTGGTTGATCTCTTATCATCCACCCACCCACCCCTGCCTTCCCTCTGGGATTTGACAGTCTGTTCCATGCTTCTATGTCTCTGGATCTATTTTATTTCTGTTTTGTTGTTTTTCATTAGATTCCACATATGAGTGAGATGTTTCAATACACTATGTTATATTTCCTTATATTTATGTGGTTACCTCTTCAAGTATTCTTTGAAGTTCTTTCTTTTAACCTTTGTGGTCTTGAGCTACACTCTTCCCCCTACATTTCATATACATTTCATACAATTAGCATATGTATCCCTAAATACTTTCTTATAGTACACACAAACAGACTGATTTTAGAATACTTAACATTATCATTACTTTTTGCTTAGATTCAAACTTCCTTGAATTTTTCTAAAAGAAAGGTGAAGTTTCCTCCCTCAAATCATAAAAATGCCCATGCAGATTTCTCAGATTTCATATATAAATGGAGAGAGAGAGAGAGAGAGAGAGAGAGAGAGAGAGAAACATGGACTGGCTGCCTTCTGCACACTCCCAACTGGGGATAGAGCCTGCAACACAAGCATGGGGCCTGACCGAGAATCAGACCCATGACCTCTTGGTGCATGGGAAGACACTCAATCCACTGAGCCACACCGGCTTGGCTCCCATGTTTCTTTCTTTTTAAAAAAAATATATTTTATTGATTTTTACAGAGAGGAAGGGAAAGGGATAGAGAGTTAGAAACATCGATGAGAGAGAAAAATCAGATCAGCTGCCTCCTGCACACTGCCCACTGGGCATGTGCCCGCAACCAAGGCACATGCCCTTGACCAGAATCGAACCTGGGACCCTTGAGTCTGCAGGCCGACGCTCTATCCACTGAGCCAAACCGGTTAGGGCTCCCATGTTTCTTTTTGGCTTATCTTCTCTTGTATTCCACCTGCTGGGAAAGGAGCTTTTTCTTATGGTCTTGACATTCTCCTTTATTTGGTTTCACCATTCATTCATTCACTGTAATTCTTCCCTTCCTTTCTTCTCTCATCAGAGGACTGTAGATGAAAGTTTTTGACATGTTTTGCCTTCTTTTCTCCACATGATCCATCTCTGCCCTGCTAGTCTTCTGCTGAACCTCATCTCCTTCCTTTGTGATGTGTTCCACTTGTCTCTTTCCTTTCACTTCAGCCTGAACACTGTCTTTGCTTTATTTCTTCTCATTTCTTCTTGAAGTCCCCCTCACTTCTGCCCTTTTCTCCTATTGACCCTAGAATCTTTGTTACATTAATTTAGAAGAATGTTCCATATCCTTTTTCCCACACCAAACTCTCATATTGAGTCCTTGAAGTTGGTTCAGTTGTTGAGTAGTTTGCATAGATAGAGTAGTTCCTTTGCATAATAAAGGTTGCAACATTTTATTGGAAAATATGCCATGTCCTTTTCCTCCATACCAGATTCACATTTCCTGACTGTACATTGCTCCCAGATGAGTTCTGGTGCCTTACACAAAGTGTGTCTTTAATTGTCTTTTTTATGATGATAATCCTTCTTTGTTTATATTGGAAAACACCTGGCAAGTGGCTAATCCCTTTCTATCCTTGCCACATTTCTGTTTCACACTTATGTTTCCTATTCCAAATCCCAAACCTGTCTGCTGTATTTGCTGGAAATATTGAAACAATGAAACATTATTTTATTTCCCATATATTCACTGTTTTATCCTACTAATTGGAAGCAACACCATTTACTTCTAGAAATGCGGTTTCTTTCTTTTTTTTAGTCAACGTTAACATAGTAACAGAAAATTAATGCTAACAATAAATTGTATAGTAACAATATAAATATAACAAAAATACACTGTGTATTTCTTGTTCTTCCCCATATCTACTTATTCCATTCTAGCTGACTCTTGAGCTTCATCATGACTCTAATTAGTTTCAGGATAAAAGTATTCAGACATTCACAGTTCATGTTATCCTGCTATTATTTTTGAAAAATTTCTCACCACTTAACTGCTTCTCAGCTGTGGTCAATTGGTACTATCATTATTGCTTTTTAAAGTATATAAATTACTGTATTATTTTCTACAGAACATTTTTTTTTACAGAACTAGAGAATTATATTTATTTTAAAAAACACAAAAGTTTCAGAGTATATGAAACATTATCATATATTTTGGGGTCATATGTATTAATTGAAATCTTGCATAATTGTAGTCCTTTCTACTACTCTATATAATAAAAGGTTAATATACAAATCGACCCAACTGCAGAATGACCGGTCACTATGACATGCACTGACCACCAGGGGGCAGATGCTCAATGTAGGAGTTGCCCCCTGGTGGGCAGTGCACTTCTTCACGGGGAACGCTGCTCAACCAGAAGCCAGGCTCACAGCTGGCAAGCGCAGCGGCGGTGGCAGGAGCCTCTTCAGCCTCTGTGGCAGCGCTAAGGATGTCCGACTGACGGCTTAGGGGGAGTGGACCTAAGCCATCATTCGGACATCCCCCAAGGGCTCCTGGACTGCAAGATGGTGCAGGCCAGGCTGAGGAAATCCCCTGCGTGCTCAGATTTTGTGAACCGGGCCTCTAGTTACACATAAATGTTAAATAGACATATAATTGCAACTCAATGTATGGCTACATATTCTTTTTTACTCTGAGTGCTCAAATTTTGTGAACCGGGCCTCTAGTTACATATAAATGTTAAATAGACATAATTGCAACTCAATGTATGGCTACATATTCTTTTTTAAAATATATTTTTATTCATTTCAGAGAGGAAGGGAGAGGAAGAGAGATAGAAACATCAATGATGAGAGATAATACTGCATACTGCCTACTGGGGATTGAGGCTACAAGTTGGGCATGTGCCATGATCGGGATTCTAGCTGTGATATCTTGGTTCATAAGTCAATACCCAACCACCGTGCCACACCAGGCTGGGCTATATTCTTGAAAATTAGGGTAGTCTTTTGTATGTTCTATTTTTGAAAAATTTAGAAAATTTATTATTAAAATACATATTAAAACAAATTTCAAGGTAAATGCTGCTTTTTATAGTTGATGGAAAGAGTTCTGCTATAAAATTAGAAAATGTTCCATGCAATATTTTCTTTGACAACACTTAGTAAATATAAATAGGTAAGTTAATATTCATACCTTTATTTCTAAATTAGAGAGTGAAGTTTTCATATTAATTAGAAAAAAACACAATACATTTGAAAGTATTTCTGAAGTACAATTTATTTTGTATATTCAACACTGAGTATTATTTTGAATCATTGAAAAGAATACCTCAATTTTACTGTACAACAGAAAAACAAATCACATTTGAAGTAAAGGAAATTAATTATTACTATTCTGGAAATCTCTGGTTAATACTAGTAAGTGTCTAAGGAGTAATGACTAATGAATTGCCATTATTCTAACATGTAAGTGAAAATATTTCAGTTGCTAAAATGCTAAGCACTATGAGTTCTTAAAATTGTCTATGAACCAGCAATATCATCTAAGTTGTTAACATTCTCTTTGGAATTGTGTGGGCTAATTCTGACATTCACAGGCAAATAATCCAATACACAAATAGAGCACAGAATCAATCATGCTGTACATTTGAGATTACTTTGTTATTGTTTGAATGTGTAAGCATCCTAATTCACTACATTATAAAATCTCTAAAAGGTGTACTCAAATTTATTCATGTATCTCCAGAGCATCTATTAATGTAGTTTGTACATAAAGAAAGATGTTAACTGATTGATCTTAAACTATTTAATTTGTGGAGAAATATTATCTAAGCTATATCTACAACATGTTGGTTTTCATTTATCCATAGAGACAAATCAAGTATTTTTACTTCTCAGTAGCTTTTTATTTATTGCACAAGTTAAACTATAAATGGACATCAAAGAGAAGTTCAAGTAAATTTTTGCCCTCAAGAATGATAGAGTTCCTTTTGATTTCTTTTTAATAAATAGCAAGCCAATTAAAACAGTAGTTTTCAAGAAACTCATTTAGGAATTGCATTACACTGATTTCCCTATTAGAGTTGCCACTGTTACATGTGGGGAAGACTTAGCTACTTTTTAAAGATGTCCCATAAATTCAGCAACTTATGTATACTGACTAAGCATTTCCTGTGCCCCCCGGATCCACTGTATGTCTGATTGTCTGTTTCCTCTCTGCTCCTTATATCCCTCGGCTACTATTCAAAAAACAGAAGGTGGTATTTATTGCCAAAGCATGTTATATATGCTCATACATTACTTCCTCTAATTCCTCCCGTTTTCTCACAGTTATGAGAGAAGGTTGTACAGTTGAAAAGACACAGGAATTGCAGAGTATCCTAATAGAATAGTAACCTCATAAAAAATTTCCTTCTGCTTTCATCACTTTAATGCCCTTGATTTTATTTCTTTGACTTTTTCATATTGAAGAGCCTTCTGCCCACCTTGCTCATCTCCCCGTGGCTCACCTCAATCTGTTTTCCTCTCTCTCCTGGCTGCAGGCCAGCTACTGAAACAGCAACTGGGCTATTTATAACTGATGGGTCTCAAAGGTGAGTGCTTCATGTAGGGTAAGTACTCTTTTGTCTCGTTGTCAATACAGCCACCATCCCCATAGGCTCCAAGGCTCTATTGGCACACTTGGCCTCTCATGAACTAAGCACTAACATAAAATCAGACACTGAACCATAGCAAGTTGTAGTCTCAATGCCATTTGAGCTTTGCCAGGTTACTTGATGTGGCTGTTGAATGGTAAGTATATTCACTATAGAAAATGATGGTTGCTCAACATTAGGGCTGGGATAATATAGAAATATTTCCAATTAGAAGGATAGTAGATCTGAAAAAATGCTCACTATTATAAATTTGTCATTAATCTGGTCAAGTGTGTGCCAGAAGTGTATGCATTTTGTTTCCCAAAATTATGAGCAAAAGACCTGAATCATGTATTTTAAGTAAATAGGGTCTCTTTTAGTCTGAAAATGGGAGGACTGTCTGATTAAAAGGTACCTGCTATGGGCTACCATGGCAACCTGTGTCGTACAGAACATATTACAATCTACTCTTAGTTTTCCTACTTACATGACTGGGTGTTTTCTAAATCTGTCTTGGCAGCCACCTGTTTTTGTAAATACATTTTCTATTGAAACACAACTGCACTCATTTATTTCCTGATTGTGTGTGCCTGCTCTCCTGCAACAAAGACAGAGTTGAGTAGTTACCACAGTGTTAAGTAATTATCACACAGACATTATAACCCACAGTGCTTAAAATACTATCTGGCCTTTTGCATAAAAAGATTATCTACCTCTGTTCTAGAATATTTATCTGTTAAAAGTATGAATGAATTTATGACCCAATAAGCCCAGTGCAGACTCATTTCTTTTAGTCAGTCATTCATAAGATTATTTGTTCAGATAGAATTCTCTGTTGTCAGATAACTCTTGGTTCAAATCTAAGGTCCACTTCTATACCAGTTTTTGGGAAAATTACAAAAATAAACCAAAAATGAGGATACTAATTGTTTCCACTTCATCCATCACTTTATTATTGAAAAATCGTGAGTGAATCAGTAGGACTAAAAAGCAATCTTATATTTGGAGAAATAGTGCTTCAGTTACTTCTAATCCTGTTTCTTCACTGTCTTTTTGGATCCTTCTTTTTATGATTCTTCCTTCTGTTATCAAAATATGTAAATGCCTTTAATCATGCTGAAAACATATAATGTGTGTGGGCAAGAGTGGTTATTTAACAAATATTAATGGAAGGGATGGATAATGATGAATAAGTAACTTTTCTCTCCCCATCCTATATAATAAAAGAGAAATATGCAAATTATCCCCTTGACCAGGAGGTTGGACCGGAGTTTGATCAGGGTGTGGGGTCAGCCTGTCAACTGACCGGGCCCCCTCCCCCCAGCCAGCCCTGCCCCCAGTTAACCCCCCACACCCTGATCAGGGCAGGGTCAGCTGGCCAACCTCCTATGGCCCCTCCCCCCAGCCGGACCCATCCCTGATCGGCCCCCCACACCCCAATCGGGAGCAGGATCGACCAACCTCCCACATCCCCTCCCCCCAGCTGGCCAGGCCTGATTGGCCTCCAATCAGAGCGGGTTGGCTGGACCCCACCCATGCATGAATTTGTGCACCAGGCCTCTAGTGATGTTACAATGCTATTTGCTTTTGGCTCATGTTGAGACATGAAGAACAATGAGACTGAAATGGAGCAGTGACAAGTATTATAGATGACCAATAAATAATTCTTGAATGAATGTGTGGTAAATGTTTCCCTCCACATCCAGCGTGGTTCAGGGTTCAGGATCTGGAAGAGGAGCCGCACACAAATGAAAGAGAAAAGACAAGAGATAATTTGGGAATATTGGGGGCTAGGCTGGTAAGTCCAACTCAAGAGGAAGGACTTCCACCAGTGCTCAGGCTGTACCAACCTTTTATAGTCAGAGGTAAACAGAGCAGTGGTCACCATAGTTACACAGTTCTTGTGAGTTTCACTTGTTTTGACCATAGTTACACTTCCTGCACTTCCCTCAGCCCATTAGCTTCCCAGATAAGATCTAGGGAGTGTTATAAGGTCAAGCCCAAGTATGCTAAGAGGACTGTGCCCTCTAAGCTGGGACTTGTTTGTGACTTTGCCAACAGGTCAGTCCGAGGCTTAACCCTATATCAGTTTCCCACAGAATGTATTAAAATGTTACATGAAGACTACATTGTTCTGTGATAGCATTATCAAAGATGAAATGGTGCATTCTAAAGTCTAAATCTGTTTTTTCCAGGTTGGCTATTATGAAAACAAATAGGTAATAATGATGCCTGCTTAAATGGAGTTAGAGTTGCATGTATAACAGAGAAGAAAGAATAGGTGAGGTACACAGGCCATAAAATTGGGACAGAAGATAATTTTAATCAAGCATGGAGAACATTTACAACTTGATAAATTTAACCAATGGTTCAAAGCTGGTAGATCTTAACTCATGTTCTAAAAGCTGTTTACCACCTCTAAATGTTTTAACACAATCAATAAAATGTATGATTCCTAACACAGTTTGCATTAGTATTTGGGTTTTTGAGGCTTATAACTTCTACCCTGGTATCTAATTTAAATTCTTCTGCTTAGGGAAAGACTCTGGACTTCAAGGAGAAGAAAAATTAATCAGACAGTAAATTATATCAAGACAAATGTCTAGCAGTAAGAAAGAGCTAAGTTTATGTATTTATGTGTTTGTAAGGATGAGGTCATTATATCCATTCCAGTTAAGGTCACTGTACTTATTTATTATATTATTATTATTATTTAGGTTTTATTGAAGAGCAATAACTGAATTAATCATGGCAAAGATGATTTAATGGAACTTGGGAGCTCAAGGACACAAGGAAGCATAGTGTTGAAAACAAGTACTTACCCTGTGATTTTTATTAACAACACTAGGAGCCCAGCACATGATTTGAAATCGCATGGCGCCATCCACTCCCTCTCTGGCCCTTGAAGCAGCCATGGCCGCTGCTGATTAGGCCCTCCCCGGCACAGGCCTGTGGAGGCTCCTGCCGCCCCACCCCTGACGCTGGACGAGCAACCTCCTCCTGTCCTGTCAACCTGTTATGGTGTTCCTGTTAATTAGCATATATCTCTATTATATCTATATAGATGTATCTACATCACAATGGGAACCGAATGTAGCATCTTTTGACATGTCTAGTATTTACAGTAATTAGGGAAATGGAAGACAAATTGGTCACAAAACACCTATTGTTTCCCAGACATAATTGGGAGTGGTTAAGGGAGGAAAAGAAATCCAAATATGTAAATACAGAGTTAATGAGGTAAAGAAAACTATATGTTAACATCAATATATTAAAACTTTTATATATACTCTGGTGAGAACTGGGAACATTTAGGCTACATGTAAAAAGGAAAGAACAAGTAGCATTGAATAGTATCCTGTTGTAGTTATTGATGAAAGAATTTAGATTGTATGTATACATTCAGTCCAGAAGTTTCAGAAAGAATCAGAATAGCAATTCATTAAAAGGAATCTTAAATAATAAATAATATAATTCTATTATTTACATTGCCTTAATGAAATATTATATCACATTCTTAGTTCAAATACCATCATTGATTTTATTTTTATTTTTTAATATATATTGTTGACAGTATCATTGATGTCCCTTATTCCCCCCTCCCATACCCTCCTTTACCCAGCCCCTACCATCCCCATGCTTTCATCAGGCTATTGTTTGTGTCCATGGGCTGTGCAGATTAGTATATAAGTTCTTTGGTTTATCTCTTCTCATCCCCATACCCTTGCCCCCCCACACACACACACTCTGAGATATGTCAGTCTGTTCCATGCCTCCATGCCTTGGGTCTTATTTTGTTGGTCAATTCATTTTGTTCATTAGAATCCACAAATAAGTAAGATCATGTGATATTTGTCTTTTCTCTGGCTAATTTCACTTAGCATAGTAGTTTCCAGGTGCATCCATGGTGTCTCAAAGGATAAGAGATCCCTCTTTTTTATGGCAGCATAGTATTCCATTGTGCATTTGTATCACAACTTTTTTATCCATTCATCTACTGATGGGCACTTGAGCTGTTTCCAAATTGTAAATTGTGCCACTATGAACATAGGAGTGCAAATATTCTTTTAGTTTACATTATGACTAACACACTATTAATATAAATCACATAAGAAAATGAAAAGAAAATATCTAGGCCTGAATACAATCCAGGAGATAATAAATTAATCACTGCTATTTTTAATTGATAAATTTTCTAAGAAATCCCAGAGTGTGGAAGCTAAAATCATAGCTTATATTTTCAAAATTAAAATAGCCCTTAAGAGATTCAAAGATGGAAGCCAACAGGAAGGCAGTGAGGAAGAGAGTGTGAGTGAGTGAGAGAGCAAAAAAGGAGTGTGCAGACATGTGGTGTGTGTGTGTCTGAGTGAGGGACAGCTAGATCTAGCAGGACCTTCAGGGGCTGGCGGACCAGGCTCACATAGCTGGGCAGCCTCTGCTACTGCTGTAATCTCTCCCTGAGCACCGGCTCTGCCACAGAGGCCACACCATCTTGAAGGGGAGAGCTTCTGTGACTGAGAGCCCAGTGTCACCTTCACCAGGGTGCTCTCAGACATCACTCGGGACCCTACAGCCACTAGGCTAGAGACCTGCTGCCTCAGCTGCTGACCCATGGACACTGGTACTTCAGCCCTGCAGGCTGAGGGCTCCTTTGAGTTCTGGAGGGCACTCCCCTCCGCCAAGCCAGAGGATTTAGTCCCAGGCACCGTAACCCCACACGAGAACAGTCTACACTTACCCAGCAGCACAGGGCTCCGAGATCACATGCCTGAATAGCCAAGACTTATCCCCGACTCAAGAATCCACAACTGTGCACATGTGAATAGCCTAACCTTATGCATCAGCACAGGACTTTGCGACCGTGTGTATGAACAGCCAAGCCTTACTCAGTAGCCCCATGCTCCGTGACCATGCGCGTGAACAGCTGAGCTTTACTCAGCAACCCTGGGCTCCAGGACTTCACCAGCAGTCGCATGAGCAGCCACTGCCGGCAACCACTGGAGGAGCAGCCACCATGCACAACTGCACGAGGAGCAGCTGCCCTGCGAACACCCAGGAGCAGCTGGCACCTGTGACAACATGAGGAGCAGATGCCCTGAGACCAAGCGAGGAGCAGTCTCCTCTCAAGCAGCTGCCCCATGACCACTCCCCAGGAGTGGCCGTCATCTAAGACTGCATGAAGAGCCACCCAGCAACACCCCCAAGCCCCAAGGAGTAGCCGCTCCATGACTGCATGAGGGACAGCTGCCCCGTGAGCAGCTGCTGCTCTGCAACCGCATGAGGAGTGGCTACACTGCAAACACCTGAGGAGCAGTCACCACCTGTGACCACCCGAGGAGAGCAGATGCCGCCCAAGACTGCCTGAGGAGCAGTTGCCACCCATGACCATGCAACCCACCACCAAGCCCACTGCTGCAGCCACAGGCCCCAAGCAACTCACCACCTAAATCCTTTGGTGAGAGCAAAATGGGGAGACAGAAGAACAATCCCCAAAGGAAAGGAAAGGAGGAATAGCCAGAAAAGGAACTAAATGAAACAGAGGCATGCAATATGTCAGAAATATTCAGAATAAGGGTCATACAGTTTATAAACAAGATGAATGAGAAAATCAACAACCTATGTAAGAATCAGGAGGAAATAAAGAGTGATATAGCTACAATAAAAAACAATATGGAAGCTTTCAACAGTAGACTAGAAGACGCAGATGACAGAATTAGTGAATTAGACAGGGAAGTAAAACATACCCAATGTGAACTGTAATTAGAGAAAATATCAAGGAGGAGAGCCCGAGAGAGCTTTGGGACAAAATGAAACGAAGCAACATATGTATAATAGGGGTGCCAGAATGACAAGAAGAGGAGCAAGTGTTATAAAACCTATTTGAAGAAATAATGTCAGAAAACTTCCCTGAGTCTGGGAAGAAAAAGTCACACAAGCACAGAGAATCCCAAACAAGATGAACCCCAAAAGACCCACACCAAGACATGTCATAATTACACTGGCAAAAGTTAACAACAAAGAGAGACTATTAAAGGCTGCAAGAGAGAGACAGAAAGTTACCTATAATGGATCTCCCATTAGATTATCAAATGATTTCTCAACAGAAACACATCAGGCCTGAAAGGAATGGAAGGAAGTATACAAAGTGATGCAAAGTAAAGTACTGAATCCAAGAATACTCTATCCAGCAAGGCTATCATTCAAAATTGAAGAGGAAATCAGGAACTTCACAAATTAAAAAAAAAAAAAAGGCTAAGGCAGTTTATCACTACCAAGCCAGCAATGCATGAAATGCTAAAAGGACTGTTGCAAAAAGAAGAAATGGAAAGGGAAGAAGGAACACAGGCACAAAAAATTAAAATGACTACAAACAAGTACCTATTAATAATAACTTTAAATGTGAATGGCCTAAATGTTCCAATCAAAAGACATGGGGTGGCTGAATGAATAAGCAAACATGACTCATATATATGCTGTCTACAAGAGACCCACCTCAGAACTAGAGACTCACACAGACTGAAAGTGAAGGGATGGAAAAATGTCTTTCAAGCAAATAGAAATGAAAAAAAAATAAGCTGAGGTAGCAATACTTATATCAGAAAAAATAGACCTCAGAGTGAAGGCCATAATAAGAGATAAGGAAGGCCACTTTCAAATACTAAAGGGATCAATACAACAAGAGGATATAACTCTGATAAACATATATGCACCCAATGCAGGAACACCCAAATACAAAAACAAAAAACAAAACAAAATGAAAAACCCCCAAACTTCTGGAAATTATCAAGGGAGAGATCGACAGCAATACCATCATAGTAGGGGACTTTAATACCCCACTGACATCACAGATAAATCCTCTAGACAAAAAAATCATCAAAGAAACAGCAATCCTAAATGACTCACTAGATCACATGGACATAATTGACATCTTCAGAACATTTCACCTCAAAGCTACAGAATATGCATTCTTCTCAAGTGTGCATGGGACATTTTCAAATATAGACCACATATTGGGTCAAGACAAAGTCTCTCCAAATTCAAGAAGATTGAAATCATATCAATCATCTTCTCAGACCACAATAGCATAATATTAGAAATCAACTACAATAAAAACAATTAAAAAATTCAAACACTTGGAGTCTGAATAGCATGCTATTAAACAATGATTGGGTTACCAAAGAGATTAAAGAAGAATTTAAAAACATCCTGGAAACAAATAACAATGAAAACACAACAACTCAAAACCTATGGGACACAGTGAAAGCAGTCCTGAGAGGGAAGTTCATAACATTATAGGCCTACCTCAAAAAACAAGAAAAACTAGTAATAAATTATCTAACTCTGCAACTTAAAGAATTAGAAAGATAGCAAAAAGAAGAGCCCAGACTGAGCAGAAGAAAAAAGATAATAAAGATCAGAGCAGAAATAAATTAAATAGAGATAAAAAAAATAAAAAAGATCAATGAAAACAAGAGCTGGTTCTTTTAAAGGATAAACAAGATAGGTGAACTTCTAGTCAGGCTCACCGAGAATCAAAGAGAGAGGACCCAAATTAACAAAATCAGAAATGAAAGAGGCTAAATAACAACAGACCCTACAGAAATACGAAAGATTCTAAAAAAATACTATGAACAACTCTACTTCAACAAACTAAATAACCTAGAGGAAACGGACATATTCCTAGAAAAATACGACCTTCCAAAACTAAATCAAGAAGAATAAAAAAATCTCAACAGGCTAATAACTAAGGAGGAAATTGAAGCAATCATCAAAAAGCTTCCAGCAAACAAAAGCCCAGGCCAGATGGCTTCACAGGAGATTTTTACCAAAAATTCAAAGAACTAAAACCTATTCTCCTCAGACTATTCCAAATAATTCAAGAGGAAGGCGCACTTCCATGCTCTTTTTATGAAGCCAGCATTACCCTAATCCCCAAACCAGATAAAGACACTACAAAGAAAGAGAATTACAGACCAATATCCCTGATGAACATAGATGCTAAAATTCTCAACAAAATTCTTCTAAATCATATAAAGCATTAAATTAGAAAGATCATACACCATGACCAAGTGGTATTTATTCCAAGGATGCAAGGCTAGAACAATATCTACAAATCAATAAATCTGATACATCACATAAAAAAATTGAGAGACAATCACATAATCATATCAATTGATGCAGAAAAGGCATTTGACAAAATCCAACACTCTTTTCTGATAAAAACACTCAGCAAAGTGAGAATAGAGGGATCATACCTCAACATAATAAAAGCCTTATATGACAAACCTACAGCCAACATCATACTCAATGGGCAAAAACTAAAAACATTTTCCCTAAGAACAGGAATAAGACAGGGATGCCCACTTTCACCACTCCTGTTCAACATAGTACTGGAAGTGTTAGCCATAGCAATCAGACAAGAAGAAGCATTATGCTAAGTGAAATAAGCCAATCAGAATAACAATGAAAACACAATAATATAAGCCAAACATTCAAAGAACTAAAACCTATCCTCCTTATAGTATTCCAAATAGTTTGTGAAAGATAAATATCACATGATCTCACTCATTTGTGGAATATAATGAACAACATAAACTTATGAACAAAAATAGAACCAGAGACATAGAAGCTATAAACTGACTATCCAACCTATGAGGAAAGGGGGGTGAGGGGGTAAGAGATCAACCACAGGACTTGTATGCATGCATATGAGAAAAACCAATGGACACAGATGGGGGGGGGGGGTGAAGGCATGTAGGCATGTGCTGGGGCATGTGGGTGGCTGGGGAGAGGTCAAGGGGGGAAAAAAGGAGACTTATGTAATATTTTAAACAATAAAGAATTGAAATTAAAAAAAGAAAATAGCCCTTAAAGCAAAAATGTTCCCAATATTTGTTGATAATACCACTTAAAAAGTGATTTTTTTGAAGAAATCCTATGTAATAAAAGTCTAATATTCAAATCGATCCAACAGGGGAACAACCAGTGGAACAACTGGTCACTATGACATGCACTGACCACCAGGGGGCAGATACTCAATGCAGGAGCTGCCCCCAGCCCTCAGGCCCCAGGCCAGCCAAGGTGGGTGCCAGCGGAGGGCCCCTGATTGCCCTTCTGGTCACCCCACAGATTGGCCCTGATTGCCGGCCAGGCCTAGGAACCCTACCTGTGCAGAATTTCGTGCACCAGGACTCTAGAAATATTCATACTTTTTATTTATGCTCAGAGTGGTTTTGTGGTGACCCAACCCTGAGAAAGAAGTGCAAGGTACTTGAAAACTAAGAGGAGAATTACAATTTGAAATTGGTTACTTAATTATAATTTATATTTTAGCAATCTACTAGCAACCTAAGGAGTTTCAAGATCACAAATCCTTATATGCTCCTCCATTTATAGGTTAGCTATTGAAAACTTACATTTCTTCACATATTGACTGAGATCATGATACTGTTGTTCTCACCAACTGTTATATTGAAGATCTAAAATAGTTAATACTCTTTTAGACTGGGTGTAAAAGACACTCCACTAATTCTATAATACTTTTTTTAAGTTGTCTATAAATTTGTAAAAAAAATATAGTTAAGTTCCTATGAGTTAGTCTTTTCTCACTTACCAACAAGTCATAAGTTCCTAACAGCCTCTGACACTATGATCAGTTATGTTTCTTCCTCCCTTGTCTTTTCACTTTCCTCTCTTTCTTTCAAGATTCTATCTATCTTTTGATAGACAGTCCAAGTCTCACGTCTTCCATGGCCCTCTGACTCTCTTCACCTCTCCCAGGAGAAGCTGCTAAGATCATGATAGGTGAACCACCTAGCATTTCATAACACATATGTTTTTATTGTGTTGTGCTTCTTTGTTAGTTTTGTTATCCCAACTATATTATGTGTTCGTTGAGGACAGAAATCACATCATTAAATACCTATAAGTATTTTTTTTATGTAAAGATTCCATGAACTATGTGTTTGGCAACAAGGAATCACTTCATGACAATAATGCCACTTTTTAGAAAATAAGGATCTCTACCTGAAAACTAAAGATCATTCCGGATTGCTGGTGCTTTGTTTATAATTGTCAAGAATGTTTTATTCTTGTTAATATTCATATAACACAAAGATATTTTTGGTACACATTCTTGGACATCATTGACTGAGTCAAACTGAATATATACTTAATGCTATCTTTGTGAAGATGAGGACTGGGACTTCCCTGCTTCATGATGTGGTGGTGAGTTTCATGTAAATAGGACAACAAAGAGTGAAAAGAAGTTGCACAATATAGAGAATTCAACACTCATTTGGTTGGTAGAAGCATTTTTATTATAGATAGGGAAAACCACACTTGTTATTATTTTAATTACCCTTACTTTGATTAATTTCTGAATTTTTTGTTGTCCAATTAACACATTTACCCTTGAAATCTCCATGTAAAATAACAGGTCTTGATTATTTCTACAAGGTTAACAAGTTTTTTTTATTTTTTTTTTATTTTACCCTTTATACAAAACACAATATAGAATCACAAGATTATAAGTACTTCCTGGTTGAAATTTAGTTACATTCAGTGATTGATGTGATGAGCTGTTCCCAGGCATTTTAGGACATCTGGTAAATTGAAAAAAATTAATAATATTAGAAGTATTTAATTTGAAAACATGTTTTATTTCAAGAAGATGCCAACATATTTTTTGGCATTCTCCTTGATGAATTCTTCTGTTAAATTTCTATTAATACATATATATATATATATATCTCAAGATAATAGATTTTCATACAGTATGTAAGTTAAATTGAATCATGTTATTTCACTATTGTTAAGATGTCATTATATTTTTCTATGATGCATATATTATCTTCAGG